GAGCTTTAGCTACTTCTCACTGCTAGCCATCCCCAAACAGTCCTCTCAGATGGGTGATGTGCAAAGCCAAAGGGAAACACAATGATTTTATTTGGAAAGAACTGGAGAAAAAACACATTGTTTTTAGTGGGAAACAAACATGGGCACCTTATAGGGTAGGATGCAAATTTCCAATCATGTGAAAAACCAAATCAGTAGAGGGTTCCAACTGTATACCTTGGCTTCTCCTCCCCACCTCCTGGTCACTGACCTCTGGCACCAAATCACCTGTGGTTCTCAGAGCCTCCTAAGTAGTCTCTTTCTTCCATACTTGTGCCAGCTAGGCCTCTCAGCCTGGAATGTCCCTCCCTCTCCCGCCTGCTCAGTAGCCTTTGACTCTCTCCCTTCTCTGAAGTGCATCATGTGACCCCAGTGACTCACCTGGGCCTCAGCTCACATACTTGAGGACAAGGACTGGTTCTGATTATCTCAGAAATTCCCTGGGACATGCTTCCAGCTGGGGCCAACCCAAGGAAGGCATCAATTTTGCTTAATAACTGAAGACTGATGTTCCCTCTTACCTTCCTCCCCACAGGACTAAGCTCAGAGATGGGGTCCCTCCCTTCTCTTGATTTCCTTCTGTACATACCTCTTGAATTTGGCTCGCTGCTTGGGAGATGGCAGGTGAGGGAGTCCCAGGGCCAAGGAGCCACTGTGACTGGTGGCCACAGGGACTCTGCGTAATGTGCCTGGGGCCTGGGCTGGTTGAGTCAGGCAGGGTTTGGGGCTCCTCTTTTTCTTCTTGTCATCCATTGGGTGCTGGCTGGGCCTCAGGTCCTAAGAAGGAGCCAGCCCCATTAAGACAGGGGCCAACTCAACCCTTTACCTGGAAAGCCCTGAGAGCAGCAAAGGAAGGGCCCTGGGACTTTCTAACTGTCCCCTCACAACTGTCAGGGCCGCTGTCCCCTCATTGGTAAGATGGAGACAGGGTCAGGTGCCAGACGCAGGCGCCTGCTGCTGGGCTCATGGATGTACATTTGAAGGGCCTTCCCTGGCCCATCCCCAGTCCCCTCCTGCCCTTTAGCCTTAGCCAGAAAACCCAGCTTCTGCCTGAAAGGTCTGCTCAGACACTATTATCCTGCTGGGGCTGCTGTTGGGGTTTCCTGTCCCTGTGGTTGAAGGGGCGGAGCAGGCAGAGGAAATGCAGGGGGAGACAGGGTGGATCTGAGCTGGCAAGAGCCCAGATGAGGATTGTTGTTGTTGGTAGGTGCTGTTGAGTTCAGGATTAGGGGTGTCTTAACTAGGGCTGTTCTATTTATCAACTCTCTCTTCTCCTAGGCAGACACACAGGAAAACCATTAGCATGGGAAGTGACCTAGGTCTGGGTGAGGGTGCCTGGGAATCTCCAGTGTCAAGCAGTAGCCACCAGAGGATGAATAATAGTAGAGGAAGCCTTGATACATGGGACAGAACTTGTGGGTTTTCTCACACTTAGAAATTGGCATCCCTCTTACCTCTTCCCCAACCACAAACATCACGCCACTCCCAGAAGTTGCCTGGGATACACACTTCCAGCTACTTCACTCTTCCCTTCTTGGTCAGAAGGTCACTGCTCCA